AACACAGCAGAACAATCAAATAGTGGCAGTGCTCAAAAGTTCATTCTGTGTTGTTCACAAAGATTTTCCAGTTGTTTGAGAAAATTATGTCTTTAGTTAGAGCTTAAATGGGCTCTATATTTCACATCACCTTCTAGGTGCAGCAAACAAACTACATAAATTTAAAACTAAATGAGATATACAATAACAACAAATTATGACAGAAGATCAAATTGTTATATATGCTCTGAATTATGGTTTTTAATAAGACAAATTATGCTGGAATCACCCTTCAGCTAATACCACTGGCAAAACTAGAATACAGGCCTGAGTGGCAGTAAAAATATCAAGTTTTCTAGTCTTATTCTACTTGTTTTCTCCTTAGTAAAGTTACACTTCAGTTAATTTCCTCAATACTGAACTATTTAGCAATTATATCTAAGCCAGTATAGACAAATCAAGATCAGCCATTACATGGTAAGATCTGATTCTAAGATACCTTCTTCTAACAGCTGTGATCTCAAATAATCAAATTTGACAGCATTTTTATCTAATAAAAGAGTTCATCTGAATTCATTGACAAGGTCAATTTATTAGTTAAGATGTATCAAATGAAAAGTAATGCTTTAAACAATGTTAATTACATCTTAACCAACTATATCATGGGCCTCAAACTTGGGGCGTCACGTTGCTGTCATGTGACATTTCGTGACTTTTTTCTCTTCACAGAGCTGGAGTAGGCGTGGCCTGCATGTGATGCTTGCGGCCCTTGGGCTGCCAGTTTGACACCCCTGAACTATATCTTACTCTTATCTCCAATTTTGCTAGTCATTGATTAGATAAATATTATTGATTCATTGATAGATTCATTGGTAAAATCAACAAATTAATAATTAGCCAGAGAATTGTTTTCTAAAAACAGCATTATTAAACAATTCTGAATAGCATGCTAACTATTATACACATGATGAACTTTAATAATTATTCTATTTTGTGGTAACTTTACAATACATATAATTCTTTTTGTTTCTTTATATTTGCAAACATCTTTACATCTTGTTTCCTGCAAATTTGACATAAACATGCATCACATTGCATCTGACGTTCAAAGAAACTCCAATGCAGCCTTCAAATAAACAATCTTAATTTATACAGTGTTATGTTACATTTCCAACAGTTCCTAAATAATAACCATCCATATTAATATGGATGAAAAACAACAGCTGGGCTGTGGATAAACATTCTGTTTGGAAGTAAATCTATAGTACAACTAAAAATATAATATACTAGGTTATGATAACAATGTAGTATGAAAACTACCGTGTTTCTCCAACAATACGGCCACCCAAATAGGAAGTCCCAGAATGTTTTATAGGCATAAAATGAAATTAAGTCCCTCCCCCCAAATTAAGGCCTATATTAAACATGCGAAATGGGGGAAATGGGGGGGGCTTGCTGTTAGGAGCACCATGCCTCGCCACCAACCTCCCTACTGTCACCAAGTACTTTGCTGCACACCCGGATATGGTGCTGCATGCGTTGACCTTGGCGTTGGTGGGGCACTTTGTATCGGGAGACCTTCTGCCACCATTGCTTTCCCTTCTCCCTGTGCTGCTGCGGCATTTGGAGCAATGCCGTGGCATTTGGCGCAGCCACATGGCGTTTGGTGGAGCCCGGCAGAGACACTCGGCTTCAGGTGCTCCTGTTGCCGCCTTCCCAGGCATCGTTCTAAGGCAAAGCCTATTCTTTTAAAAACACCGCCCTACTACGACAAAGCCTCCCCTGCCCAAGAGGGCAGCCCAACCCCATGTGGGGAGGCAAATCTCCCGGGGCCGCAGCGCAGGATCGCCCACCTCAGGAGAAGCCCCCATCCCTGCCTGGCACTGGGCAGAGCATGAAGAGCTTCGGCTGGGGCATCCAGCGCAGCTGACAGGCGGGCCCTCCTGCCTGGCAGCGGAGCTCTGGCCAAGGCAGTGAGTGCCTCCCCACTGGGCCCTCCGCTCATCCTGCCAGGGCCGTGCTGGAGCCGGGCGGGCTGGGCAGAGCTGGGAAAGCAAGCCGCAGGTGCACGCCTGCCTGCCAAGCGAAAGAGCCAGGCCGAGCTTGGCTTCTCAAGTCCCTCCAGTCCGACCCCGAAGGGGCCACTGGGAGAGGGTGCCCGAGGCAGTGATAGCGCCCACCCATCCATGGACTGGAAGGCAAGGCAACGGCCCGTGCCACGTCCTCCTCCGAGGCAGTGATAGCGCCCACCCATCCATGGACTGGAAGGCAAGGCAACAGCCCGTGCCGCATCCTCCTCCGAGCTGAGCCCTGCCGAGTGAGCGCCTCTGCCCGATGCCCATGTCGCTGCAGTGTTTGAAGCTGCCGGCACGTTTGGAGATGCGTCGGGACGGGGATGGGCTGGGCGACGGGTGGAAAGGACGGGCGGCTTCGGGCTCTCTCTGCTGGACCCACCGGCCAGGGAAGCAGCGTTGCCATCGCCTTGCCTCCCTGTGCGCGGATGGGTGGGTGCTATCACTATCTTGGCCAGAGCTTTGCTGCCGGGCAGGAGGGCCTGCCTGTCAGCTGCACTGGGCCTCGCCTCCCTGTCCACAGCCGAATGTCTCCACTGGGCTCCAGTTGCAGGGAGGAGCCCTGGCTGGCCCGCGTGGCTGCGCCAAACGCCACATGGCTGTGCCAAATGCCGTGGCGATGTTCCAAATGCCACAGCGGCACAGGGAGAAAGAAAAGCAATGGTAGCGGAAGGTCTACCAATACGAAGTGCCCCACCAATGCCGAGGTCAACATCCAAGCCGTTGCCACCCGCCC